TGCATCTTGTTGGGATATTAAACTGCCATTAAACTATTGAATTTATAACTTACTAGCAAATCTCCTTTCCATGTTGCATAAATCTTATTTTGCCACTCTGGCTTTGGTGTCAGTAGCAGAAACCAGGGGATTTTGCTTCATGATCTCTTTGTCTTGGTGGCTACCTGCTGATTGGGACACCCCTCTGACTGGTAATTCACAGTGGGGTGGGTTGGTGACAGTGGTCTATTTCTGGAACAGTGGTCCATCACTTTCTCAATACCTACTCAAGGGACTTTCCTTCTGGATGTTGCCTAGTTTCCTGAATATCCTGAATATCTTGAATATCTCCTCCCATAATCCTTCTCATGGTTTCCTTCCACCATCCTCATTGCTCAATGCTGCCATCCTTTTCCACAGAACACTGATCTTTCACATAGAAGAACAGAGGTTCTGGCCCTCGGTCCTTCTTCTTTCTTGGGTTTCTCCTGGATCTTAACAGTATCTCTATTCATGTTAGTGTCTAGTGACTTCTCAAGAGGGAAGGCTGAACACTGGTCTCAGGTCCTCAGGAGCAGAGGAGGAAGTGGCAGATGCTTCAACTCTATTTGAAGTATCTAAAGTCAAACACATTTCACCATAAATCTTCAATACTCCTCATGTACAGATGTGACTTCAATATTCACTTCCAAGTTGAGCTGAACCAAGCCCAGTTCCGTGTAGGCTCAATTCCAGTGTGAGGTGAAGATTATACTTTTATATCCTTTCTTTTTCTGTCCAAATCTCAGCTCTCCATCTCTCAAAACCCATTGTTCAAATGTTTTCAGGAATTTCTCCAAGATCTCCATATGGAAAATTTTTAAATTTTATTAAGAGATGTAAAAGAGAACCTGAATAAATGGAGAGACTTACCATGTTATGGGAAGGAAGACAGCATCATAAAGATGCCAATACTCTGCAACTTGAATTATAGGTTCAGAACCGTTCCAATCAAAATTATGGAACTTGCTAAACTAATTTCACAACTTATATGGGAGAGAAAAGGGTCAAAAATAGCCAAGATACTTCTGAAGTATCAGGTTTCAGAACTTAACGGGAAGCTATGATTAAGGCAGTAAGGTGACAGTATAGGGATGCTCGTGGGCTAGATATCTACATGGTGTCAAAGTACCATCAAATGCTTATTGATTAGATATTATTATATGTTCAAAATACTTATATAAATTTATAAGAGAGAAATTTGGCAGACACAAAATACATCAATTAATGAAAGTTAACTTCACCAATAATGTGACAAATCAACATCATGTACCTCTATATAGGATGCACTGAGAATGACACAGAATCACTTCTGTGGTCTCCTGGCCCCAAATGTATAACCTAGAGGTAATTGTGAGGAAACACTAGACAGATCCAAAATGAAGGACGTTCTAGAAAGTAACTGGCCTGTACTTCTCAGAAGTGTCAAGGTCATGAAAGACAAAAGACTGAGGAACTGTTCCAGATCAGAGGCTAAGGAGACACAACAACAACATGCAGCATGAAAGACACTGTTGGCACAACTAGCAAAATTTAATGGAGTGTGTGGTTTTGGTGGTGGTGTTATAGTAATGCTATCCTCTCAGTTTCAGTGGTTGTATTTGTTGTGTAGGAGACTATTTGTTTTTAAGAAATGCATACTGGGGTGCCTGGGTGGCTCAGTCGGTTAAGTGTCTGACTTTGGCTCAGGTCATGATTTTGGGGTTTGTGAGTTCGATCCCTGCGTCAGGCTCTGTGCTGACAGCTCAGAGCCTGGAGCCCGCTTCAGATTCTGTGTCTCCTCCTCTCTCTGCCCCTCCCATGTTCATGCTCTGTCTCTCAATGCCTCTCAATAATAAATAAATGTGTAAAAAAATTAAAAAAAAAGAAATGCATAGTAAAGTATTGATGAATAATGGGTTTTTTGAAAGTTACTCTCTGAAATGGTTTAGAGAAAAAGATCACACACACACACACACGAGGACAGAGAAGAAAATGAGAATAATGTAAATGATAGAATGTTAACAGCTACGGGGTGGGTGAAGAATATGGATAGAAATGCTTTATATTTTTCTCTCAACTTTTCTGTAAGTTTAAATTATTTTAAAATAAAGAATTAAAGACGAAGTTGGGAATTTTTACAAATAAAAAGGAAAGCATACATGACATAACATAAGAATGGAGGAAAACAAAGAAATGTTGCACCCAAGAGCATTTATACGTGGCTTATAAGGCCATGATGACATACATATTTGGCCTCATTAATGGTGCTGATCAAGACCACAGTGAGGCACCATTTTCTATCTGTTTAACTGTCACATTTAAAAATCTGTAAATTAAAAAAAAATCTGTAAATATCAAGGATTTATTTCAAATGATCCATTATAAATGGCTGGAGGGAACATAATTTGTTGCCGTCACTCTAAACAACAGCTCATCATTATCTCCAAATGTTGAACATTTACATACCCTGTGACTCAGCAATTCAAAAGGTGTATAGCTAAGAACGTCACTAATACATAACCTTGGAACATGTACAGTATGCTCATGGCACTACTATTTACAATAAGAAGAACCTGGAGGGGCGCCTGGGTGGCTCCATCGGTGAAGCGTGTGACTTCAGCTCAGGTCATGATCTTGCAGTCCGTGAGTTCAAGCTTCACGTCGGGCTCTGTGCTGACAGCTCAGAGCCTGGAGCCTGCTTCAGATTCTGTGTCTCACTCTCTCTCTGCCCCTCCCCTGCTCATGCTCTGTCTCTCTCTGTCTCAAAAATAAATAAAAACACTAAAAAACATTTTTTTAAAGAAAAACCTGGAAAGGACCTAAATGCTCATCAGTGGAAGGATGAAATGAACTATGGCACATTTGCACCATAAATAATTTTAGCAATATAACATGAAACGAAAAAGGAAGTCATCCCCCAATCACATACAGCATGATACCATTTTGCAAAGTGAAAATACCTAAAATTTTTAAAATGATGAATATATAGTAAGTTCATAAAACTATCTAAAAAGAATGCCAGAGATAGTGGATACACAGGATGTGTGTTTTTGTTGCCATATAGAACACTTTGCTTTGAGGTGAGTTAATGTTTCTATTTCCAAAAAAACAAAAACTTTTGGTAACTTAATTTTTTTTTTTTTTTGTAAGAGAGAGGGGCACAAGTAGGGGAGGAACAGAAAGAGGGAGAGAAAATCCCAGGCGGGCTTCCAACTGTCAGTGCAGAGCCTGATGTGGGGGTTGAGCTCACGAATAATGAGATCATGACCTGAACTGAAAGCAAGAGTTGGACTCTTTTTTTTTTTTTTTTTAATTTTTTTTTTTAACGTTTTTATTTATTTTTGCGACAGAGAGAGACAGAGCATGAATGGGGAGGGGCAGAGAGAGAGGGAGACACAGAATCTGAAACAGGCTCCAGGCTCTGAGCGGTCAGCACAGAGCTCGACGCAGGGCTCGAACTCACGGACCGCGAAATCATGACCTAAGCCCAAGTTGGATGCTTAACCGACTGAGCCACCCAGGCGCCCCATGCTAACTTTTAATTAAAAGGCCCTTGAGGCTTTTATTCATCAAATTCTAAAAGTCTGAAGGTTCGGCCTTATCCAAGGTATCCATTACACAGATTTGGCCTGTAGTTTATTGTGGTGGACAAAATAAGAAATGTTATACACTAAAATATAGTCTTCATCAAGACAGAGATTTTTAATATCTTTTGTGTTTACTATTGTATCTCAGGGATCTAGAAGAGTACCTGGAACATAGAAGACAATCAATAAATAATATTTCCCAATAAATAATAATATTGAATGAATGAAAACTGTTTTCCATTGTTAAAGGGTCACACTGAAGTAATATGAAGTGTCCAGTTGGTGGAGCCCATGTTGCATTTGTTGACGGTATATGACAGAAGAATTGGAAAATTCAGGAATGAATGCATCTATATCGTCACGTGAATATTAGGTGGTTATACGGGAACCCGTCATATGTTTAGATTTTTCTCTGATACATATTAATTGGCGCCAAACTTCAACCTTGTTCGTTTGGCATTTGTTTGTTTGATTAACAACTTCCTAATAATAGAAAATTTAAATCATTTGGTCTTTGAGTCAGTGTTAAGTGAAAAGTTTCTCCTGTGAACTTCACCTAGATTGTTAAATTTATTGCACTTATTTCTGGCTGAAAGAGTGTTAAAGAATGAGAAAAATCTGTTTAAAAGAGAATGAGAGGCCATAGGTGGTAGAGTATGTAATGTAACTGTCAACTTTGGTGACATGCTTCTAAAGGAGAACAGAATCAAAGCAGTTTTCTCTATCAAGTAGTTTAAAAGAACTGGCATTCGTGTAAATGCAGTGTATCTGAATCAAATTATTTGATTTATTCAGTTTTCTTCCTTGAGCCACTGACCTAGATGCTCGTGGTCATATGGTTCTGTACACCTGCTAACCAGGCCCACTTCTCACCCCTTCCCACTTTGGAAAACTTTGCTGTGCTCTTGGAGCTCAGAATCTGTCATCTGCAGATTTCCTAGGCCCTCTACTTCTCTGAATAGTCTCTTTCCTTTTTTGCTCAGTTGAAAGCTGGCTCTTGTGTGAGGACCCTGCTTCCCTGCCTCTCTCACATTCCCTCCATGCACTCTTACCAGGGGGCTTGGAGGGGCCTGTCTGTGCCCTGTCGACCATTCTCCTTCCACTCCCTGAAAACTCCCATCTTTGAAATCCTTACCATCAAACTGTTCTACAACCCCCACTTGCTTCATCATCCACTTCCGTCCCTCCTCCTCATTTCTTTCATATTTTTAGCTCCTGGCTTACTGCCATTGTCTTCTTAAAACTCCTGTAACAATTTTTGGTTATTTCAGTATTCAGATAAATGATCCTTTCAACACTCTGGGCTCTTGGTTTCTTAACCTCCTCTTCTCCCAGGATCTTGTCTGTTTCCTTACTTCAGTCCTCACTCCCACGGTCATACTGGCCCTGTGTTGACCAAACCGATTTTCTTACCTTAACCGCAGTTTCAAGCACCCACTTCTCTACAACCACAGCCTCTCTAGCTCAACGTCTCTGACGCCCTCACTTTTCCAAGCCCCGCAAGACCTTCAATCCACTGATCTGACCAGCTTTTTTCCTTCTCTCGCTCTCCCTCATGACCTCATTTTACAGCCATACTTGGCCTGGATTCCATGCTTTGACATCACAGTAGCCCCCTTGCTTCATCTTTCATCACAGGTGCTTGGAAAACCCCAATCCTAGCTTACCTAATTCGCTGCCTGCTCCACACCTGCCTCCTTGCAGGTAAACATGACTGGATGAAACTCTGCAGCCATGACCCCCGGGGCACATATGAAACGCACCCCCAGTAACCTCACACTGGCCTTTCCTGCTGCCTGCAGCCCTACTGCCTCTCCCTGGCCCATTCTTTCTCCCATTTTTCTCGGCCAGTGTTTTTTCACGTTGTGCATTAAAAAAACAAAACAGGTTGGAACAGAATAGAACTTTGTTTTTAAATTTTATTTTTAATTTTTAAAAATTTACATCCAAATTAGTCAGCATATAGTGAACAGAATAGAACTTAATAGCACATAATAAGGATACATATTATTTCATGAAACACTTGTTTCAGTTATATATATACCTACATTTACATATACATGTGCTGGGTTAGGATATAGAAGGTACTTTGCATTGAAAAAAAAAAAAAAAGTTCAGGGGCGCCTGGGTGGCGCAGTCGGTTAAGCGTCTGACTTCAGCCAGGTCACGATCTCGCGGTCCGTGAGTTCCAGCCCCGCGTCGGGCTCTGGGCTGATGGCTCAGAGCCTGGAGCCTGTTTCCCATTCTGTGTCTCCCTCTCTCTCTGCCCCTCCCCCGTTCATGCTCTGTCTCTCTCTGTCCCAAAAATAAATAAATGTTGAAAAAAAAATTTTTTTTAAAGTTCAGGATCATCTGGTGGGTTGAGCGGCTGAGTTCAGCTCAGGTCATGACCTTCTGGTCTGACCTATGAGTTCAGCTGCATAGGGTTTGGTGCACGGCAGGGCAGAGCCTGCTTCAGAACCTCTGTCCCTCTCTCTCTCTGCCCCTTTCCCACTGGCACTCTCTGTCTCAAAAATAAATAAAAAACTTTTTAAAAAGTTCAAGAGGGACACTTGGGTGGCTCAGTTGGTTAAGTGTCCTACTTGGGCTCAGGACGTGATCTCACAGTTCATGGGTTTGAGCCCCGCACTGGGCTCTGTGCTGACAGCTCAGAGCCTGGAGCCTGCTTCAGATTCTCTGTTTCCCTCTCTCTCAAAAATAAATAAACATACATATAATGAAAGAAGCTGCGTTTTATATATATATGTATATATTAATAAAAGGAGTTCAAGAAGCACTGTCTTAGGCAATTACTTCACATCTCCTCTCACCTCAATCTTCCATCACCTCCATCTCCTCACTGTCATCTGATGGCCCAGCTTCCTACTGTACTAAAGAATGAGGAGGAGTTAGAGAATCTCTTCGCCTGCCCAGCTGCCTGTGCCCATATTGCATTCTCCGTCTTGTTACCGTCTGCATCCCTGAGCCCCTTCCTTCCACTTGTCTCCTAGATTCCCATCAATCCTCAGCTTCACAAGGACACTTCTTAATTGTCATGTAATTAGAACTTCATTCAGGTTCTTTCTTTCTTTTTTTTAAGTTTATTTATTCTGAGGGAGGGAGAGAGAGAGAGAGAGAGAGAGAGAGAGAGAGAAAGAGAGAGCACACGTGGGAGAGGAACAGAGAGAAAGGGAGAGAGAGAATACCAAGCACACTCCACACTGCCGTTGCAGTGGAGACACAGAGCCCTGATGCGGGGCTTGAACTTACAAGCTGCAAGATCATGACCTGAGCTGAACTCAAGAGTTGGGTAGTCAACCGACTGAGCCACCAGGCACCCTTCATTCAGGTTCTTTGTAAAGGTTCATCAATTCGCCCCTCTCTGCTAGATCATTCTTATTAATACCAAAATTCTGCAATAGCTCCCATCTTTAAAACAAATACCAAAAAACAAACAAAATCTTTTTTGATTCTTCTCTAGTTACTGTGTCATTTCTCTGCTCGTGTTTACACCAAAACTCCTTTAAAGAGTTGTTCACACTCGGAGGTCTGTCCTCCCATTTCCATTTACCCTTACTCCAAAGAGGTTTTTGCTCCCACTATTCTTTAAAACATTTTAATCAAGGGTGTCAGTGGCCTTCACTTTCTTAAAGCCAGTGAACCTCCCTGGGAGAGATCACTCTGTCCCTCTTGAAACACTTCCTTGTATAACTTTCTGGACACCAAGAACTGCATTCCTGGTTGTCCCCCAACTGTACCTCCTACCACACAGGTCATTCCTTGTGATTGTTGGAGTGCCCATGTTGGAGTCAAAGTGCCCAAGGTCTCAGTCCTTGGACCTCTCCTCTTATTTATTTATATATACCCCTTGGAGATTTTGTCTAGTCTCATGGCTTTAAATAGCATTTGTATACTGATGATTTCCAAACTTAAAGAGCACAGATCTTTCCCTTGAAGCTCCAATTCATATATCCACTCTCTCTCACTTGGGTGCTTTATAGACATCTCAAGTTAAGTCTGAATGCCTGCTTGGCCCCTCCCATAGTCTTCCCCCTATCACGTAACTGGAACTCCACACCTGTAGTTGCTCAGGGTAAAAGCCTTAGTACCAGCCTTGACTCCTCTCTTTCTTTTACATACTACATCCAGTTGATATCACCAAATATTGGCTTTCTGCTCAAAATATAACCTGAATTTAACCACTTTTAACTACTTCCACAGCTTCTACCTTGGCCCAAGCCACCGTGTGCGGGAGATATTGGGGATATAAACAGGAAAAGGCATGCTTGGTTGAACTCACCTGATTAATAATTGTAATGTAACAGATTAGTGTGATAATGTAAGAATAATCACTGTAGGGTGAAACATGCAGTTTGGAAAATCTTTGTAAATACGGTGACGTTGGAACCAGATCTTGAATGATGAGTAGAAGTTGGTCAGGTGGGAGAGAGTTTAAGGCAGAGAGGGTAGTGCATGGAGGGATGGTGTGACCTGGGAATGATAAGAGATTTGAGAAAGTTGAAAACAATTTCTTTGTTGGTGTCATACTCTGAATGCTAATAGTGGAGCACTTGAAAGAGGCCCAGAATGTAGATGTTTCCCAGAAGCATTTTCATTTCATTCAATGACCATTTTGAAGGCAGATGTGGGTCGAATGTGTTATATAGTCATATCTGTGATGTTTCGATGACTTCCTGACTTTGCAAATCTATAAATAGCTCTAATGTTTGAAGTTCTTTAAACCTAGACCTATATGTAATATAATCTATTTTACTCAGAGTTTTGAAACAAATACAAGCACATTGTGTCTGACCCTAGTAGTTTTCTATTCATAAATTAAACAAGCATTTACTGAATACTTTCAATATAGCAGACACTGTACTAAGTGTTGTAAGGGATAACAAAAGTCAAACTATCAGGCCATGAAAAGACATGGAGGAAACTTAAATGCATATTATTAAGTGAAAGAAGCCAATCTAAAAAGGTAACATACTTTAAATTTTTTTTAATGCCTATTTATTTTTGAGGGAGGGAGGGTGAGAGAGAGAGAGAGAGAGAGAGAGAGAGAGAGAGAGAACATGAACAGGAGAGGGACAGAAAGAGAAAGAGAGAGACGGAGACATAGAATCCAAAGCAGGCTCCAGGCTCTGAGTTTCAGCACAGAGCCCGACTTGGGGCTCGAACCCACAGACTGTAAGATCATGACCTGAGCTGAGGTCAGACCCTTAACGGACTGACGCCCCGGCGCCCCGGTAACATGCTTTATAACTCCAACTATGTGACATTCTGGAAAAGCCAAAATTATGGAGATAGGAAAAAAAATCAATGGTTTCCAGGAGGGGAGAGGGAGATTGATGCATAAGCAGAGCACAGAGGATTTTTCAGAGCAGTGAAAATACTCTATGATATTATAGCGATGGATACATGTCCTTATATATTTGTCTAAGTGCATAGAGTGACTCTAGTGTAAACTATGGAATTTGGGTGACTTGTTTTAATGTTTGTTTGTTTATTTATTTAGAGAGAGGGTACAAGCAGGGCAAGGGAAGCGAGAGAGGGAGAGTGAATATACCGTACAGACTCCACGCTGCCCATGTGGAGCCCAACGCAGGGCTCAATCCACAAACTGTGAGATCATGACCTGAGCTGAAGTCAAGAGTTGGACGCTTAATCAACTCAGCCACCCAGGTGCCCCTGGACTTGGGGTGATTAAGGTGTGTCAGTGTAGGTTCATTCTTGGTTTAAAAATGTTCCGGGGCGCCTGGGTGGCTCAGTCGGTTAAGCGTCCGACTTCGGCTCAGGTCATGACGATCTCGCGGTCCGTGAGTTCGAGCCCCGCGTCGGGCTCTGGGCTGATGGCTCGGAGCCTGGAGCCTGCTTCCAATTCTGTGTCTCCCTCTCTCTCTGCCCCTCCCCCGTTCATGCTCTGTCTCTCTCTGTCTCAAAAATAAATAAAACGTTAAAAAAAATTAAAAAAAAAATGTTCCCTTCTGGTGAGTGATAGTGATAATTGGGGAAGGCTAGGTGTGTATATGGTGCAGGGAGTATATGGGAAAAGTCTGTACCTGCCTCTCAATTTTGTTGAAAGCCTAAAACTTCTGTAAAAAAATTAAGTCTTTTAAAAAAAAGTCAAAGTTAATGTTCTTAAGGGGCCTTATGTCTTTTAAAGAGTGATGTGCTAGAAAAATAGATCAGAAGGCCAGAAAGAATATATTTTACCCTCCTGAAAATGTCCATTCAAGAAGTGTTCAAACAATAAATAAAACAGTAACTTATAACAATTAATTAGCAGATTAAAATACTTACATTTGCCAGTCTGCAAAATTAATCTGTCAGTGTAAGAAAGTTCTGGCATGGAAATCCATTTTTCCTTCATATCTTTCTGTTTCAGAGAATGAAGTGTGTCTTTTGTTATTGAGTCTCTCACTCTAGTCCCTTGGTGGCTTTCTGCTGGTTTCCTCTGGGATGTTGCTGAGACTGAGGGAGAAGATAAGAAAATGAACACAAGGCAACGAGGAGGTCATTTTTAGTGAGCTTTTCTTTGTCTTCCACCTTTTCATTTTCAGAGGCTTCTTCTCCTAACAGTTCCTAACATTCTTATAACTCCTATCCTAATATAATTTTTCCTGTGACCGTGGAGCCCTGATACCTCCTCCCTGCCCACCTCCGACATCACCCTGTTTCCTTTCTTCTTTTCTCATTCAGCTTCTTTAAGGGTCACCCTACCCTCACCATCTCCACTTCCTCACCTGCCTTTCATGTATCAATT